TGGACCTTCGTCTCTCTTTCGGTAACGCGCGGCAGATGATGGGTTTCAATGTTTGTTAAGACAGCTACTGTTACTTTATTAATATAATTGGCCGGCTGGACATCATCTTCTGGAGCAACTTCATTTCATCATCTGAACAAGCCAGCCAACCAACCACGCCTAACCACGCAGCATCTAGAACCCAGTCCCCATTGGCAAAGCATGACCGTGAGCATGGGCATGAACGTGGCGACGCATGACGAAAGGCAGCAGCCCATATAAGGTAGGGCTGATTCATATGGTGCATCGTCTGTTAAAACTGTTTTCAGCGGAACGTCGCGTTAATTAGAAACGGAGAGAGCTGGAGTAACATTTTCTATATTCTACGAACGCGTGTGCAGGTAAGTCTGCAGTTTTTGCAAACGTTGCACCATATTAGTCAGCCCAAGTAACCACAGGGACGCCAGGTTAGTGAATTTGTTTTTTTAGTTACATAATTCGGTTCGGTTATCAACTCGGCTTTTTTCCGATTTCGATTCGACTTTCGGTCTGCGAATTTATCTTCAAACGGCTAAAGGCTTGGTATCGACAATGTTTCGATAGCAGCCGCTGTTCATCCCTGCGTACGGTCCGGGGGGGACCCTGGGATGTCTCATTCGAAATGTCACATTTTAAGGACATATGGACATTCCTCGGTTTCAACTGGACCCTAAATTTTTCTCGTAGGAGCGCGCCCTTTATTGAAGTAATTAATGATCCTTTGTAACTGGTTACTGTTGATTCAATAAAAGAAACAAATGGCTTTTGTGTTGTTGGTGTGTGTTTTTTCTATTAAACATAAGAACTAATAACTTTCTTAGCACTAAAACTGTATTTAGTAATGGTGACGGAAGAAATTAGCATGAATAAAGTAAAACAAAACACACTTAGTTGTCAGAGTCTTTTTTATAGCTTATTTTTAAGGCTTCATAGTTAAGTAGATGAACTACTAATGTTTTTGTTTCAGCAATACGAATCGGCATCTTTACTTTGTAACCGCTACATGAATTCAATAAAAGAAACAATTTTTTTTGCTTTGTTGGTGTGTTTTATCTATTAAGCATTCACTAATAACGTTCTTAGTACTAAAACTGTATTTAAAAATAGTTAGAAGCAATAGCATCAATAAAATAAAACAAAATACACACGCAGTTGTCAGAGTTTTTTTTACAGCTTATTTTTAAGGATTCGTAGCTAAGTAGATAAATTACTAATGTTTTTTTTTTTCAGCAACCTCGAACGACAACGAATCGCCATCTTTACTTTGTAACGCTACATGGAATTCAATAAAAGAAATAAAATCTTTTGTGTTGGTAGTGTCTTTTTTCTAATCAGGATTTATTTATAACTTTCTTAGTAGTAAAGCTGTATTTAATGATAGTTAAAAACAATAGCATCAATAAAATAACACAAAAAACGCAAGAAGTTGTCAGAGTCCTTTATTATAGCCTTTCTTAAAGGTTTTATAGGTAAATAGATAAATTACTAACGCTTTTATTTCAGCAACCTCCAACATAAAGGTTTTTTTCTCTTTTTTACTTCCGGCTATGTTTTTGGAACGAGGAGCGTATAAAGAATACGTCTTTGAGGGTGCGCCCAGTCAACATCGAGTACTGCTTTGGCGGCCAGCGTTCCTGAAGAAACGCTTCAAATCACTGAAATCCGAATTAAGTAAGAGTTCATCTACTCCAAGTTAGCCAGATGATTTGTACCTAGTCAGTAATGTGGTTGCACTTTGATGATCAATAAAGTTATTTTACTATTGCGTTTCAGTGTCTTGTCTTGTAAAACCGCACAAAGCAAGTCTAATATCTTTTAAATTACAGTTAAAGAGATTATCAGAGTATTATTTTTGCTCTGAAACATGTGCATATTATTGTAATATGTCCTTTTTCATCAATAAAGTTGCAAGCACACAATGATCTGTTCAGTGTTATGTTTTTCTACTAACCTACTATAAAACCTAGAAAGTTATATTTCAGGAGCATGAAACGCGACCTTTTTTGACAATTTTTTTCGGAGAATAAATGGAGGAGAGCTCTATACTGGGCGCGCCCTGTTCAAGAAGTGCAAGACAACATATTCTGGCGTTTTCTGTTCAAGATGTCACTTTTTTAACCACATTTTGGAGTCCATTGGAGCGATTCAGACCTGGAAGAAAGATTTCGCGTTCTTCTAAAGGTAAGGCAAATGTTACGTATTTGAAGCTATTTTAACGTCCAAGTTTGTATTTTTGTAGTTTCCAGGTCACACAAGCAGCAGGTGAGAGAGATGAGTATGCGGGCCTTTTGCATATTGATAGATGAAAAGAGAACGAGGCATGTACGATAAGTAGTTAAGAAATTTCACATTTTCACAGCAGAGAAAGACTGAAAAAGTTTAAAGCTAGATATTTGTCAAAATGAAGGAACTTAACTGTCCATTATGTGCATATGCAATCCATCCACAGACGAGGTGCTGGACCATACTTTGACCGCGGTATTCCAACTTGTCTACAGACACATGTTCTTTCCCACATTTCTTGTCAGTATTTCATTTCATACTAATCAATGTCTTGGAAGCTGTTGTTTATTTAAGCAGGCAAGATGCTCCAGAACTTCAGACTGAGATGCCCTCGTTAACGTGATTTAAAGCAGTGGCCTTGACTTGCTGTCTGGTAAGTGCACTTATTACAAATAAGAGAAATTTTAAAAAATAATACATATGTCACCATCTGTCGAACGCAAAAGGAGAAAAAGGAGAGAAGTTTATCACTAAGGTTGTGCATCGCAAATCACGCAAACTGAATTTGAATTTTGTTTTAGTCTAGTCAGGAAATCCCAGATGTTTTAGCAGACCCGGGGTCCTCCCTGTAATGGCTATGGGGTAGGCTCCGCACGAAAGGAATGCCTTTTCAGGTTTTGTGTATATGAAAGGGGTCGGAACTCTGTCATTTCGGTCTGTAAAATGGCTCAACAGGGTTAAATGATGCATTTCATGGCTGTGAAAAAGTCCAGAAAACGTTCCGGTTCGAGGTTTGTTTATAACTTCAAAGAGTGCATTTACAGCAGTTAAAATTGATACAAAGTGTTAAACAAGATGTATGAGAAGATCACCATTTTCAATAGAGGGTATGCTGAAGGGTTCCTTTGTGCCGAAAATGGTATATCAAAGGTAAGGGGTCGGACCTAGGGGCGGAGCCTCCCCGTATAAAAATTTGTTGAGTACCCCTCCCGGGATAGCAACTAACAAGGTGGACTTTCGTCTAGGGCAATAGGAAGTTTCTATTGATTTAGCTTACCTTCTGATAACCATGTTTTCTCTTCTTTATATTTTTAGCGTACCAAAACATCAGACTGTATCCAACTGCCAGACCAACAGACCAGACAATTTTTCCTTTGTAAGACCACCAGTAGGCCGGACCATGTTGCACAGGTTGACCAACAGAACAGACAACTTTCTCTTAGCAGAGCACCATACAGTCCTGATCATTTTCCTGTTGGCATGACTACCAGACAAGACCATACCTATCCACCATCCTACAAGACCAGCTCATACAAGGTAGGGTTGATTCTTATGGTGCATCGTCTGTTTAAAGCTGTTATCAATAACATCGCTGCACTAAGAAAGGAGCGTATGGCAACGCTTTCAGCTATATTTCATGAAAGTGCTTGTGAGATAAGTGAGCAATTTTGCAAACGTTGCACCATATGAATCAGCCCAAGTTTACAGAGGGACATCAGGTTAGTGATATTTGTTTTTCTGGTGTAATTTAGATCATTTCCGATTTTGATTCGGCTTTCGGCTTGTCTCTGAATTACGCTTAAACGGCTACAGGCTTGGTATCGACATTGTTTCGATAGCAGGCCGCTATTGACCCCCCTTCATACGGTCTGGGAAACTGTGGGTTGTCTTATTCGTAGCGTTCCGTATGGACATGTGGTCATTCTTTGGTCTCGATTTCTTGTAGGAGCGCGTCCTTTATTTAAGTAATTAATTTTCTTTCTTTGTAACTGATACGTACATGGAATTCAATAAAAAAACAAATACTTTTTGGTGTGTGGTTTTTCTATTAATAAGCCCCGAAATTTTTGTGGTAGTAGCGCGTTAATTATTCAACAAGCTAAATATTTAACCTCTGTAACTACAACAATTCAATAAAAAAAAAAAACCTCTTTGTTGCCGGTGTGTTGTTTTTCTAATAAATAGTTACTGATAACTCTCTTAGGTCAAGCTGTATTTAAAAATACTTTATTAAAAAATAGCATCAATAAAAGTAAAACAAAAATATCCACGGTTGTCAGTGTCTTTTCTTATAGCCTAAACTGACACTTTTTTTAAGCAACTATGTAATTTACTAATGCAATTTGATTTCAGCAACCTCGAACACCAACGTTTTTTCCTTTTTGGACTTCCGATCGTCTTTTTCGAGCGAAAAATGAAGAATACATCTTTAAGCGCGCGTCCGGTCAACATCGAGTTTTGCTTTGTCTGCGTTCCTGAAGAAACGCTTTCTGCTGATTGCGACTGAAGCAAGAGATCATGTATTAGAAGAGCATCCACGTGAATTGTACTTAATTATAATGTAATTGTACTTTGATGAACAATAAAGTTGTTCGAATGTTTAAACAAAGGGTGTTTGCTATTTTGTTACTTTCTTATATAATGCAAGTACTATCAAATAAGCCTAAAATATGGTACCTTTTAAAAACTGACGCTGCGCAAGTTAATGTAATAGCTTGAACTTTGTGATCAATAAAATCAAAAAAACACTCAGGATACATGTGTCGATCTTTTTTCTACTAACGCAACATAATATCTAGAAAGTTGTATTTCAGGAACATGGGACGCGAACTTTTTCTTTTTATTTTCTGCCATCGCTTTTCGGAGAATTAATGGAAGACACCTTTTTTACCGGGCGCGCCCTTTCGAAGAACTTGCAAGAAGTCATTTTTTTTTTGGCTCTGAGAAGAACGTACAAGACACCGGCGTTTTCTTTCAAGATGGCTACTTTATTTTCTAACACTTTGGATGTGTTAATTCAAGAAAGGCTTGGGGCCAGATTTGGACTGGACAAAGAGTTAAAGTGCCAAAGGTAAGAGCCATGTTATATCGAACAAGGTATTTTAACGTTCCAGATTGTTTTCTGTTTTAGGTCACACGCTATAAGGGGTCAGTGAGTGCAACTGTCCACAATGTTCAGAAGTGACAAGAGAGTAAAGAAAATAGCGTACGAACCGTAAGTACAAACGAATTAGGTATCCTGCAAACTGACAAAGAAATTACAATACCATTCACCAAAGCTAAAACGAGTTTCAAGTTTGTTATGTTTCGCTGAATACTCCCAACTCTTGAAAAAGAGTCGCCGACGAGTGGATGGACCGTGATTGGACCATAGTTATTCCAGTTACAACGCCGACATACTAGACTTGATTCGCTAAATCAATCTTCAGTTCATACTAATCAATTGCCTTGTAAGCTGTCATTTCATTGAAAACTGGTGGAATACTATAGAAAACACTCAAGATTCCTTAAGGCGGCGAGAGGCGATTACGAGAATCAAGCCCGTTGACTTTTGTTCAGTGGTTTCTGGTAAGTCTTTAATTTTGTAAGCGGAATAAGGCCACGTCACCGCTCCCTTAACGAACAAGACAGAAGCAACAGAGGCCTTTATCACAATATCTTTAGTTATGATTCAGTTTTTCGCAAGAAGTATTTCACTCAGATCAGAAAATCCCAGTTGTCTTAGCACTGCAATGAAGTTTATCTCTGTAGTAAGAGATTTGGAACCGTTCACATGATTCTCGTTTCAAAAGAGCATTTAAAACTAAAAAAATTCCAAACGTTTCTCTTTAAAGCATGTTTTAATCCAGTAGTTTTGTTGCTTTTTGGCAGCATTTTCCATATATTTTCCGAGAACCTAATTGGAATTCTCGGTGCCGGTGATTTGAATGTATTGAATTCTCAAAGACAGCCAAAGTGAAAAATGTCATAAAAGTTCCAGTTTTTTGGTAAAATAAGATTTGAATAGAACTGTTCGAAAGTTCTGCTTTAGGGAGGTTTCATTTGGATGGCAACATCGGAGGATTTCTCCCAAATGTTAAAAAGTTAGAGTGAAAAATCATGCATCTCGCAATAACTTAGTCTTGTTGCGAAAGGAAATCTTTTCAATGATTTTAATGGGGAACGGAAACAATCGGTTGCATTGTTTCAACGCCTCTTGTTTTCTAGAACTCTTTTACTTAGTCTACTTAGGTCACCCCAAGGAGTACAGGAGCTGAGAAAGCTGTCAAGAAGTCTCCACTTGTGATCCATGGGACATTAAAGGAGGCCTCAAAGCAGAGGTTTGTACGAGAAAAGAAAAGTAATCCCTCTTGAGTCGTGATAGTAACCAAAGAATATGGATGAGAAAGACTACCATCCTAACAAAAGGTGCATGGAAAATACATTTGTATGAAAAAGTACAAACGCAATAAAGAAAAGAAGGAAACTTTAAGATGAAAAGGCAAGACAAAGAACAACATACGGAAATGACCCAGTTTTTAAATTTTTTAATGCTTGGGGCGCGGCCGTTTTAACCCCTGTTGTAAACTAAGATTTGGACTGCCAACCCCTAAAATGTGTTTCGCAGATTATTACGACGACGTAAGTGGAGCTGCGAAAAGAAATCGCAACGAAATCAGAGAAAAGATAAAAACTGATTACAAATATCTTCCAAAGAAAGTTATGCGAAAAGGAATTTATTTAAAACTGATGTTTTTTGTTTGTTTGTATGTTTCAACAGCTACAAAGGAGGGAGCAAACCGCCTTAACTGCGCATGACTGACGCTGTTAAAAGGAATGACAAGATCGAGATGGAATGGACATTCAAGTCTTTCATTAAAGTCTGAACTTTTAGAAACTCGGTCATTTTTTTCCGTGTAAGCAGAAAAAAAAGAAACAAGAAACGTTTAATTCGAAAAATGAAAAATTGCAATTTCGCAGGAACTATGAGTTTGCTAAAACGTAAAATCGTGAAGAAAATGGGTCATCGAAAAACACAAAATTTTCTTTATGCCACGATGTATGGTGCGCGTTTAGTCCCCCATATAGGATCAGTGTCCTTAACCAGCCATTTTCTCTAAAATTCTAAAAATGTAGTTGAAAATGTAATAAAATGTACATGGAAATGAAAACTAGAATAGCCGCAGCTTCACTGATATAAGTTGATTTGTAACTTGTAATAAATCAGTTACCTCAACGGAAACAAGATGTGCCCGCAACTTTCAATACAGGCATTCACCGGACAATCAGATCGACTAATCTGGGACCTCCGAACTAACTAATGCTTGCATAACCTAACGCTTAACATAACCAGCTGTAACCATCTAATGGCTAAATTTCAGGGGTTCCAGATTACTTTGGTAAAAATCATTTTGGTGGGATTAAAAAAATACCGTTTATGCTGGGTTGTGGGGTGTATGAAAACATGAGCCTTTCCGTTGAGTTAGTGTAGCTTATGTCTTCGAGCGATAGTCTTGATCATAACTTGTATTAGAAATTATTTAGGATCGGGACAGTGTAACGTCGAATATGAAGTCACCTGGCATCTTTAGAACTTGCACTCGCTTTGAAAGCATTTTAAGAAAATGAAAAAGGTCTTGTGCGAATCAATTGGTGATAATAACAGTTAGGACTTGTCGTGACAAAACTGAGTTTTAGTGTGAAATTGATGGGTAGTGTAAAAAGACAAATAAAAAGTATCTTTTGCTGGAACTTGCGTTATCATTTTAACGCACTTGTCAATAATTCAATAAATTTCCCTGTTTTGTCTCGTTGAGTGTGATGAGTGTTGTCTGGTGAAGCCCTGTTCACAGCAAAAAAAGTTATAATTTTTTTGGCAACTTCTTTACAAGGCTCCTGACTCTCCTTTGCCTGGGCTTAGTTGCTCAAAGCATGGTTAGCTTTAACCACTGGTTAAGCAGTATCGAAACCAATACGTTGTCAGGGTATTTAACGCTGGTTAACGCTAACCATGCTTCGAGCAACTGGGCCCTGGTCGCATGTTTATACTCGGCAAATTTGATGTTAAAACGTTTTTTTCCTCGCGCGTCAGACTAGAAACGACTCTAAAGGTGGATTTCCACTGTCATGTCATTTTACGTGCGCACGCAGGTAAATTTTACGCGCGTAAATAACAGAGCCAATGCGCGTGAACGTAAAAAGTTGAACTTGGCTCAACTTTGTTTAAATACGCGCGGTCTTTCATACATTGTCGCTATATTATTTACCCGCATAAAAATGACGCAACAGTTGAAATCCACACTAAAGAGCGGGGACATCATGATAACTACAATCACGGACAAAAGTGGTTGGGAAGGTTGTACAACTTAACAGTAGTTCAGTTTTTTTTCCTTTACTAAATATCCCCCGTCCCCTATATTCAATAGAGAGTTTGAGATTCAAGGACGACATTTAATTTTAAGTTTTCTCGCCTCTTCTCTAAAATAGACTCCTGGAAAGATTCTTCGTACTTTTTTTTTCGCCACAAAAGTTAGCACGCTTATTTTTGTTGAAGGAGGTTAAGCCCCTCCAGATCGCTAAATGATAAAATTTCTTGCATTCGATAACTTCAAGTTGTTTTCGCCACTACGACATTAGAGACCTTTAGATTCTATAGGACGAGGACGATTACGAGTACGAGATTTGACTGGAAGTTTCTTCGCGTATTCTCAAAATATAGACTCCCCGGAAAGCTTCATTTTACCACTAGAAAAGTTAGCGTGGGTATCTTTCCTTTAGGAGGTTACGCGCACTACCGGGCCCAGAATAGCGCTAAACCCGGAGTTAAGTTCAAAAGCATTTTCTCGGATAATTTTCTCTGTTTTTTTTAGAGCTTCTAGTCATCAAATTGTAGACAAAAAGAATTAAAACTGAAACACTTCTTAAGCTTTCAAATCTGAATTCAAATCTCGCACTAACCCTGGGTTAACTTAACCCAGCTTCGAACAACTCGACCCCGTTCGCAAAATGATAAAACTTCTAACACTATACTTAGTATTGAGAAAATCTCGTACCTGTAGTCGTACTCGTCTTAGAATATATTCTCGCTAAAACTCTTAGCAGACTGACGACGGCTACCACATTTTCCCGCCAAAATGACGTTGGGTCGAGCGCGCCCACTACTTAGCATTGAGAAAATCTCGTTCACACAGTCGTCCTCGTCTTAGAATCTAAAAAGCTCTCTATTGCTGGGATATGACAGAACAATTCCGCGCACAAACATTTATGTTTTGCTCAACATTGGGCCAGGGTCAGGGCAGGAAGGGAAAAAAGAGGTAAGAAGTAGCAGCTTTCCCAACACTTTCGACCATGATTGTAGGTATAGGAATTCGAAACCACACACACACACACACACACACACACACACACACACACACACACACACAACCATATGTAAATAGAGGATATTACATGGCCGCGCGGGATACGAATTTTATCTTAGAGTGCTGAAAGTATCTCTCACGAGCCAAGCGAACGAGTGAGAGATACTTTACAGCACGAGAAGATAAAATTGTATCAAGCGGCTATGTAATGTTCTGTTTATTTTATAGATACTGATGAAATTCCTACATAAAACACAACTTTTTTTTTATTCATTTTCGAAACAGCAAAATAGTGCAAGTAAAGTGGTCGCCTACCGCAAAATGCCTGTCAAAAATGTTATGAAACTCGGATATAAAGTTATAAAGGAGAAATAAAGACAATAATACTTGTATTTTCTGTTCCAAAAAGTCAAAACTCTAATGAAGAAGAGATAACCCATGTTAGTAACCATGGCGACACCAATATCCTCACACGTGAAAGATAAAAATAGTATCTTCACAGCGCGCGATGAAGATATGATTTTTTAGTAAAAGGAAAAATCCTGGTATTTCATCGGTATCTATATAATAAAACATTTTATTCCTTAGAGGAGAATTCGTTCTGTCACGTTACCATGGTAACAAAATTTCTGGATTTCAACAAACCATGGTCCTTCAAATATAGCAGAAAAAAAACGAAGAAGCTGACATGTATGACTTTATTGTAAATGACTGCACTCAGAAACAAAACGGTAGTCCATACTATTCTTTCATCATTCGACAGTGCAAAAGACTGTCTCCGTCACGAAAGATTGTCGAGATTCAGAAATTTTGCTTCCATAGTAACGTGACGTCACACTTCTCCTCTTGCCCTAGCTATTTCATACTCCCAATAAAATGTTTCGTTTCCATCGTCCTCCCTCTCGTGAAGGTGGGTCGGTCGGTCAAAAAAAAAAAAAAAATGAAACACATGATTGCATATTAAATCTCACATTTAGTCTGCAAGATATAATCAGGTGGTACAAGATGTATATTAACAGGACTATCAAATGTCCAAAAAGGCTACAAAAACGAAGTATCGATGATAATTTAAGACAATTGGTGTTAATAAGACAACATCGTGTGCTTGTAAATTAAAGTACTTGCTTCTTTACAAGTGATTCTGGATTTTTTTTTTACTTTTCCAAAAAACCGGGTCGGTCGGGCGATGGGAAACGAAGCATTAAATTGAGATGGCCTTAAAGGTACGTGGACATGTGCAAATAAAAGCTATCAATTACGTTTGTTCAGATTCGTTTTCTCGGAAAATGTTCTCTGTTTATTTTAGAGCAATCAACCATCAAATTTTTGACAAAAAGAATTTAACTGAATTTGCTTTTTAAAAGAAAGCGTAAAAGCTCTAATATCTGAATCCAAATTTGACGCACTAATCTTAACCCATCCTTGAACGACTCAGTCCTGGTTTTAAAGTGTAACTGATTGAATAAAAATCAACTTCAAAAGACTTTCATTGGTAAGGTTATTCAAATAGCCGCCAGCTGGTGCGAGGTCTGGATCCGAGAATTTTTGCGGGGCGTGAGACAGAAGCAAACTCCAAAAATTCTCAGAAGACCCAATCACCTATAAAGAATAACAATCATGAGGGGACATTTTATTTTCGAGTATTACCTTGCACCAGCTGAACGGGTATTTGAAAATAAAAATAAAAATCCCTGGGAAAAACCCGGAACAGGCCCGAAACATCCCGAAACACTCCGGGAACACCCTCGGAACACCTTCAGGACACCCGGAATTCCCCGTAATACCCCCCTGAAGGGCCAGACCCAGACCCAAGCGGATGGCCCATGAGGGATTTACAATATTTTTCAATAAATATCTTCTACCCAATTTGATGTCTACCGTGTTCGAGGAGTATCACTCATAAAATTCACTTATTTTGATTTTGTCTTGTTTTCTTTGTTTTTGA